CCTGAGGGACATTAACAACAGAAGAGTGACTCTATATACTTGAGTTGTTATAAATTTTTCTTCTTTTATGTTTTATTTTTTATTTTTTATTTTCTCAAATAATTATCACAATTTTTGAATTAAGATATTATTGAAAAGAAGTTCATGTGTGTGTAACTTTTAGGATTTAGCTAAGAAACATATCTTTCAAGCATATTGATAAGAATTAGTGGCTTGAATTACTTAATAAATTAGTGCGTGTTCCTTGTTTAAACTTATCCAACTATTTAACATTCATCAAAGATTAGCATAAAACAGTCCTTGTCTAATATTTAATTTGAGATAAATACACGCATGTATATGTATGTATTTATATTTGTAAATATATATGTGCACACACACACACACACACCATCAGAATGTGGAAACCAAAAATTTAAGAAATTTAAACACCACATAAAAAACAAATGTAGAATTGACTTTAAACTTTTGGCCATGTCTTGGCAAAACTGCTGGAATCTCAAGAATAAAAGAATAAAAATAGATTTCAAACAAGATTTTGTGTGGACAATTGACCAATTATTTTTGCAATACATCTGCTGAAATTTTATAGTAACATGTTTGAAGGAAACTGTAGATGTTAGAGTAAATATTTTTTCATGTTCAAATTCTATTAATTTATAGGTAGCACAACACATGCACCACTATGTAGAGAGGGAGAACATCTATAGTAAGTCAGAGGGAGTGTAATTGGTGGCATTTCTAACATTCAGATTAATGTACACATAGAAGTAAAAGTAAAACTCAAAGTAAATGTGAAGAGAATTCTTTTTTATTTTTATGCTTTAAATGTTGTCATGACACTTTATTAAATAAAATTTAAATACTACTAAGTCAAAGTTTTCCTAAAGAGTATTAGCAGTACTATTAGTAATGACAAGGTAGGGGCACCTCAAGGTGGTGTAATGGTTTTTTGGGTTTTTTTTTAAGCATTACACCCCTTAGGCGTGAAGCCATTAGGATGTAGGGGGTTGCAGAAGATTTGGAGCAAGAGCAGATAGGAGTGATAGAAGAAAGGATGAGGAGAGGGATAGTAGAGATGTCAATTGACATTACATTTGAATAGTTGGAGATTATAGCTCTCAGGGAAACAGTAATAGGGAAGGGTGTTCCACAGACGAGAGGTGCAAGGTATGAAGCTATTGGAGTAGAAGAGAAGGCTACATTTAAAAGTTTCTACAGTGAAAGGGTGAGAGGGGGTTAGCAAGCTTGTCTTGCTAGAACAATTATGACTGAGTAGTGAGTTTGATTCTCACTGGGTGTCCCCTACTTTCAGCTACATCTAAGCTATGCTTGGAAAATCTACAATAATGACAAGGTAGTTCACAAATAATTTTAATATTACTAAAATATATTCAACTACATTTCTACATTATAGTGTATAAAAGTGGGGTGGGGGCAGCCTAGAGGCCAGATAAAAATCTGGGTAGGCCATGGCTCTTTTTGCTTCTCTACAGAATTGCTAATGAAAGCAATTATTATAATGTCAGAGCTGTAATAAAACCAATGAAAGGATTTAGTTTAGGAACTGTTTCTCTCTTCTTTTACATTCCAAAAGTATTGTCTATGAAATCAGGAATGAGTTCTCTCTTTTTTATACCACTAAATCTTTTGTCAATGGATATAAAGGCCAAGGGAAATTAAGAATCAGTTCTGTAAACTTGTATGATTTTAGCAGCATCTTGAAAACCATCACTGTATAAAAACTTTTTGTCAGAGTGAGGAGAAAAAAATCTGTTGAATCACTATTCTTGCTTTAATCAAAGAAAGTGTTGTAGAGAAATGCTGCTAAGAATGTCTGAGATAGTTTTGATTCTTGCATCTTAGCATCTTCACTAACAAAATCAGAATGCATTTGCTAAAAAGATGAGAATATAAAATTCAATGAGAAAGACAAATGGTGAACTGACAGAAGCAGCTTCTATTTATTAAGGAAAAAGATTTTTCACTGAAATTATTTAAAAATAAGTAACTAATAAATAATGCATGAGCAAGTTTCAAAATGGACTTTATTTTCATCAGATAAGTAATAAAGAAACCATTCTTTGTTCAATGTCATCCTCCATCTGTATGTAGCAAGAAAATTACTGTTAAAATTATTATAATGCCCCAAATGTGTTGAACTAATTCTTTGTTAATTTAGTTATTACTACAGAATTTTAGCCAATCCATTCTAACTTTTGCAGCTGTAGAATTTGTAAGCAAAAAGATTGGTCTTTTTCTTATAGAAATAGATGACAAAAACTGGTGGTTGATATACTAATTGGCTAAGCTCATTCTCACCTGAAGAGACGATTATATAAAGCTTTAAAGAAGGGTATAAAATGGATTAAGCAAAATAATGATTCTTTTCAAAATTATAAAATCAATCTGATGTATGAATTTCTGGAATGAGGAGTTATCATTATTTAGATGAGGCTGAAATGTTGTGATAACAACAAAAAGGTCAGGATAATAGTCTGCATGTAAGTAATGTAAATAAATACCAATTTGATGTTTATAACAATAATAAATACCAATTTGATGTTTATAACAATAATAAATACCAATTTGATGTTTATCATAACAACAATGTGTTCACAATTTCAGATTTCAAACAATTCTTGATAATTATTTATTTAATATAAAATTATTAATTTAATATTATAAAAGAATACATTTACTTAAAATGAGTATAAGTTTTTATCATCCTTTCTTTAATTGGGTATAAATTGTCACCATTCGTTTAAGTTTCCCTATGAAACTTATTAAAATATTTTTAAATAAAATGTGTTCCTCTTGTAATGTTAATATGAGTAAAGAAACTCACAACTGACCTCATGGTCATCAAACTGTTGTGACGAAGTCAGGGGTCGTGCGTTGAACAAAAACTAAGTGTTGAGAAAATAGACAAACATGAGACAAAACAAGATAGAAATATTTATTCTGTCAAGAACATTTCAAGGAATGTCCTTAAGAGTCTCTATAAATAACAAAGGAAAAGTTGAATTTATTCTGCTGGTGAATCTGCAAGTACATGAAGTGTACTGCCTATGCCAGTTGTTTCTAAACGGTGTGGCACACCTCATAAGTGCAGTGAAATGGGATAGCAGGTGAGGAAAAATGATTGAAAGAGAATCAAAGATTTAGGAACAGTATCAAAAAATTCATATACCAAAAATAAATATGATTTCAAAATTTTAAATATTATTATGGTTTACTTGTAATTACATGCATGAGCCCCAGGATAAATAGTTATAAATAATTATCGATTGATTTTATTGATATTTTTGCATTATATCAATTATTAAGAATATAGTAACTAGGGTCTGTAAATTGGAGGAGAGAGTTATTAATGATAATGTTCTGATTTCGAATTCACAGTTATCTCACTTTAATCCTCTCTCTGGACCTTCTGTGCTGTAAGGCTACTTGCACCTTTTCTCCATGACTTCCCTTCGGTGTGGTGTGAGTAAATTTTAATTCTGAAAATGCAGCCCAGAGAAAAAACATTTGCAAATGATTAGCCTACACTATGTTGCATCTATCTATCTTGCATCTATCTATATCTATGTTGCATCTAATTAATGTGTTCTTTAACGATGTCAGCATGAAGTGAAAGGAAACTAGCCTCTCAGGTCCATGACATGCAAACTCCCCATTTTTTCTTTTTACCCAAAAGCTGAAATGGTGTTATTTTACTGATAGGATTTTTCTATCTAAAATGGTGTACAGTGAATATACAAAATAAATTATTACACTGTGTGTATCCATGTAGGAAGTTCTTTTGTATTTTGACAACACATTTAAAACTGTATGAATACATATTTACATGTATTGTCATCATTTACTTATCTTTGAATAGCAAAAATATAATTCAATTTATCAGATCTTGGATATTATTTATAATAAGAATGGATAACTTTCATTCTGCAACATTCAAACTAATATCAACCATCTCACATGTTCATGTCTCAATTTTCAGTAAATAAAATCCAAGAGACTCCTTAGCTTGACTTTCCTTTATCAAAAGAACAGCAAATGTTATTATATTGTTAACATTTGTAAGGAAGGGTTTTTGTCACAATGATGACCTTCTTGTATTTCAAGCCAGGAGGTGGGTCGATGAGAAATGAAATCAGGACAATTCACTAAAACTACTGATTGTTAGATTGTCAGTGTTCAAGTGTTCTTTTTTTCCTTTAACATTTTTGATTTCATTATAAACAGGTCACTGAAGAGATAGACAATTGAAAAACATATGATATTATTATAACTATCATTTTTCATAGACATTTGGATCACCTTAATTGACACTTGTTTCCTGATCAATTGTGTTTCTTTTTCTCAATATCTTTTGTTACTCTTGTCATTGTATCTTGCTCATATTTGATCAAATATACTCCATTTACCACATTCACAAGAAGCCACTGACAACAAAACAAAAGAATGAGCTTTTGAATTTGTGCCAACATAAACTTTGCCTTTGAATTCTTAGCTTACTATTTTTTCCTCATTTCGTTTTAGTTTATGGACCAAGTAAAAATGTGCAATAAAGATTTATTTCTGTTATATCACAGGTTGGTTGGATGAACAAAAATGAATGAAAATAAAACAGACAATAAAACAACTTTTATTCATTTACTGCCTGAAAATAGCAGATAAGTTTGGATTTAAACCATGAATTTCACGTGTGTCAGCTTGTCAACATATATTCAGAGGTGCTGCACGGCCACTGTTGGACAAGGGAGGTAACTCAATTATATATTAACTTTTATTGTCTTTTATAGGAGGAGAAATTAACTTCCCTTAACTGTTTCAGTTTCAAAAAATCTCAGTTAAACTTTACAAAATATAAAAACAATTCAATAAATTCTGTAAAAAATATTTTTGATTTCTTTACCAGAAACGTTTTTAGTATTATTTATTTTCAACTATTACTTCTTTTATGCACCTAATTGTAATAAACTTAGCTTATGGACACACACTGCTTCCTGTATGATCACCGAAGTTAAGCAAAGTTGAGCCTGGTCAGTACCTAGATGTGTAACCACTTGGGAATACCAGATGTTCTAAGTTTTGATGTGCAGTTGGTGTCATGGATTGCAGCTCAGAATTGTTAATCAAAGATCAGAGTTCTAATTCCAATTGAGTTCATTATATTCACTTACACAAAAATACCTTTGGGAAAAGCATGAATCCACCTCTTCTCCCCCAGCTATGGTTTAATTAGTAAGGCTTGTGCCACTAAACAATTATCTCAAAAAAAAAAATCTTACAATCTAAAAATATTATCTAGCTTTAAATAACTTGAATAAGATTGATAAGTTGTAGAAAACAAATCAATCAATTGTAATAATCTTAAATTAGATGAAATATTTTTATTATTAATTTTTAACTAGTTTTACTTTTAACATCTGTCTATATTTCTGAGATGCAGTATTGTAACTATTTACACTAATTATATTATTCAGGAAGTTGTCTTCATATTACATTTCAGCCATTGAACGCTCCAGCCTTCTTCAAGTGATATATGTTGAAATTATGAACTGAACCCTTTATTTTGTCCACTGGAGTAGATTGTTCTAGTTCCACGTGCCATGCCTTTTCTGAATATCTTAGTTTCAGGATACATGGCCCAGTGGATAAAAGCATTGGTTGAAGTAATCCAGTGAGTCGTGAGTTCAATACCTGGCCATAGCACAGGTGAACAAAAAGTTGGAGTGTTGAGTTACTAAAGGGAAATAACTGAAACTGAGACATCCTGAAAAGGCATGGAATGTGGAACTAGAACAATCTACCCCAGTGGACAAAATAAAGGGTTTAATTCAGAAGAAGGCCAGAGCATACAACGGCCGAAATGTTGTGAATATGACAATAAAGATGAGGACAACAGTCCAAACAATGTAAATAGTTATATTTTTCATGTTATTTTTATGGCTTTTTTTATGACAAAAGTACATTTTAATTTATATCCTGAAACTGTTAAGATGGAAAGGAAAATAAAAATATGCTTCTAATCAGATTTGACATTGCATTCTCTATTTATGAGAGCCTGTCTATCGGACATTGCATTCTCTACTTTTGAGAGCCTGTCTATCTGAAAATGTGTTATTTCTGCCTGTGGGGTAGAGTGCAAACTCACATGTTCTTATTTTTTTTTAAGAATTTCACTCATGTGTTTTACAGACTGATATTTCTTCACAAGTGGACAGTCTGCTAAGAGGTGGGTGCTTTTATGAAGATGCAATGTATAAACAGTTTGCCAACCAAGGCTAGAGAGCTTTTATCTGCTCATTACTTGAGCACAAATACCAACAGCTTTTGAAGAGTTTTGTTTACCGAGTTTGGATCAACCTGTGATATGATTTCAGGCACTTCCCATTGCAGTTAACTCCCCTGATAAATTAACCATAGTGAGATTTGAACCCAGATCTCATGGTTGGAATTTCTATATGAGACAATATCTAATACATTAGCTTACAAAAGCTTGTTCCAGGGGAATAATCTCCCAAGCTTTGTAAATGCAACAAAAAGAAAAACAAGCAAAAACTTAATAAAAATAAAAAATATTTTCAATGAAAGAAAATTTTAATAGGTTTAGAAATGAGAAATTTGCACTCCTAAATATCATTTTTGAAGGGTTAATTAGATTTCACTTTAAATAAAATCATTTTATATAAAAGCAAAATTTGATTCCTGTTTTTGTTTCAAGATTAAATAATTTTTGTAAACAATTCCATGGACTATATTACCCAACCTACATTTTAAAAATCCGTGGAAACTTGTGTTATAATAATTTTAGTGACATTATATATACCATTATTTTTACAATGAAAATAAAATATTAATGCTTTATTTTCCAAATTTCTGAAAGAATAAGTTAAGCTTTAATAATAGAGATGTTTGAGGTTTTATTTTGTTTTTACATCTATTTAAATAAATATTTACACTGCTTATCATTATAGAAGGCAAAATAAAAGAAAATGAAAATTGGAACATTGTATTGTACCAGTCTTTTTTGTACTAATAATTTGTTCTGGTGCACTTTCCATTATGGTACCTAGGCTTTATGAATTTAAGTGTAGTACTATTTGTTGGAATTTTTGGGTACCCTGTAAGTACTAGTGAGCCAACCAAAATGAGCTGACTCATTTTATAATTCACCAATAGAAGAGTTAACCAATCAAAAAGCTCAAAATATTCAATCCAATGTATAGGCAGCCATTTTGCCTTTTCTCCCAAAATATCTTCACTGCCAACCTCTGATATCGAAGACTTAAAGAATTGACAGCTGCTACTTTCTTCGAATCTTCACTGCCAACCTCTGATATTGAACACATTACAGGCTTCACTGGATTCTATATTCAGAGACTACGGCAAACATGGTTAACACTATTGACACAGAAAGAGAAATCAGAAAGTTGTGTTTAAATTTTAGTTGGGTTTGTTACATTCACTTACACACAAATACCCTTGGGAAAGGTATGACTCCATCGCTTCTCCCTCCAGCTGTGAGTTCAATAACAAGATAGACTGAGTCCTATAGCATTGGTTGACAACCAGTCTACAGAAGAAGTAAACTACAGGAAAATCTTCTGTCTAGTCAGTCATGACTCAAAAGAGACATGATTACCTAAGTGTGTATCATGTATGAAACTTAACTTACTGACTGACTAGATTGGGAGTAAGGTCCCATTATTTTACAGTTGATTTGGCCAGATGTAACCGTAAGTTCTATGCTAACAGTTTCTTCTCTTGCATGTCTCATCTGTGGAACTCTTTTTCATCTTCTAACTTTCCAAGTCAAATTTGATCTTGAAAGATTTAAATGCAATATCAATTGTTATCTTGCCTTCTTAATTCCTCTTCTTTTTTTTCTCTCTCCTTAATAATGATTTTTTCTCATATTCTCTCACACTCAGTAACCTCTTGTGTCTTAGTGGATTTATTGTCTTGCTTGGGATGAAATGATTAACATAAATCATTATCTTCTGTCTTCTCAATTCCGCTTTTATTTTCCTCTGTCCTTAATTCTGATTTTTTTTTTTTCATATTCTCTCATACTCAGTAACCCCTTGTGTCTTAGTGGCTTTATTGTCATGCTTGGGGTGAAATGTTTTCTTTTAAGAAAATCAGAATTGAATTTCATAGCTTTTAACAGAGGCTTGAATATCACCTACTAGAAATACACAATTATTCAGCCACTAAGTCAGCTATAAATTTTGCTTTTATTTTATTATCAAATACATTTTTATATAATTTGCTTAAGTAAATTTGCATCTGTAAACCTAAAAGACAATTGATCATTTCCAGATAAACTGATTGACTGAACATGAATCAAAGAAACCAAAGTAATTATTCTTGCTTTAAGAAGTAAGGAATATATATAAGATTGAATTGGTACAACTATAGAAATCTATTTATATGCTTAAGTATTTTATGAGCAGATAAATAAGGTTTCCTAATTAACTTACAATTGACTGACATCAAAATATGTGGTTTTATATTAGATTTCAAATGTAATTAACAGAAACAATTTTTACACAGGAAAGATTGTAAAAAAAGAATTCAACAATTTGCAACTATTTTTGCTTTTAATCAATAGCAAACTTCTCAAGATCTCCTTTAAGTTTTCTAGAGCTCCTCTGAAGTTTTTTGAACTGTTATTAATAAGTGTTTTTTTTATGGTACTTAATTCTTTAAAAAAGTTATTTTAGATGAGCAAATTAATTTAGCCCTTTGGATTAAATTGTTTATTTTAAATATGACTGTCTTGTAGGCAAGATTCCATTGGATATAGACTGGTATTCTCTAGAATGCCTACTATGCAGATACTGTATTGGTTCTTGAAAATGACTGAAGTGGTCAAAAGTATTTGAAGAAAACAACAGAACAAACATGAACTTTGGATGGTTTATCCACAATTTCAATCCCAATATACACCTTATTTGAAAAAAGGAAAAATACAATAAAAATTAAACAGACATCGTCAGTTGTTCTATGTATATATATATATATATATATATATATATATATATATATATATGTGACACTATTTAGCTATGGTAATTGGCTAACTAATTAACCATAGAAATTAAAAACAGGAAAGGCAAGGCAAGACAGAGCTATATCAAAAGATAGACTGAGTGACATTAAAAAGAAGATTTTATTTTATTTACAAAGAATGATAGTTTTCACACGAGACAGAAAATCCGTAAGAAAAAGCGAGATATGAGATTCTGTCAAAACTGATTAATGTCATGATAAGGGAGTGACATGCCAAGAGAAACAGAATTTAGAAAAAAAAAACAAAGCCAACCACCACATGGTGGCCATAAAATATTTCGGCTTGAGACCACCGCGATACAGGCAGAGAGAATTGATATTAGTTATCTTTCAGAAATATCATTTAATTTTAATTACTGGGTCCAACGAGAGTAACCATCTGGTGTGTGTGAGAATTCTGGCATCAGGAAGAAAATCATAAAGGAAATTATTATTATTGCTTATTCAAACGGTTGACATCAGACACAGCGTCGTTGAAAATGGGCATCTTGTGATAAGAGGATTTTAAGGCATGAGAAAAATAAAGAATTTGATTCTCAGGTAAAATACGAACCTCCCAGCTAAAAGTTGACTTAGCAGAAGAAACTAGGTGTCCAGTTTTGACAGTGATTGATGAGTCAGTATAGAGACCCGACTAAGTGAATTTTGGATGTCCCCAAAAGAAAGATGTGATAAGAATTATTTGGCAATCAGGGGTTTGTAAAAAAAAAAAATTTTTTTTTGGCTGAAGGAAAAAAAAGAAAAAAAGGATTTTGTAAACAAAATTCTGGATAATAATTTTAAGACGGCCAGTCTAGCCACACCCACACTGCCGAGAGATCATTGGTCAAGTGGTAGCATGGGTAATAGGCAGAGGTGAATGTATGAGAAAGATGGAGAAGTTGTTAACACCCACTGAGGGGATTGGTATGAGATACCAATGTGAGAGAGGAAGAGTCTAGGAGGATAACTGTCTTCCAACCTTCCCTCACGGACGAGGGAGAAATCCACGAAATGGAAAGTG